CATGGTAGTGCCAATATTAATTAGTTAATGTGAGGAGTCACTCAGTAATATGGGGATTTGCCAGCTCTGCACTTGTCATAAATTTGTTTAATATAGTTGCTGACTTGGCATCCATTTTTAGGCCTGACATAAGTTATCTGAAACCTAGTCATACCCCATCACCTTTGGCCTACTTTAAACTTCTCCTCCCTATGTGGCTGTTTGTGATATTAGCCCACTTGTTTCCCATCTCACTGACCCAAAACCCCACATACCTCAAAGCTGCTGACCATAACAAAACCTAATGGTGAACACCAGAGTCATGTAAATAAGTTACCCCTTCTCACACATTTTGTTTTGTTTCGTTTTGTTTTGTTTTGTTTTGTTGTTTAACTAGCCAATCCACGACCCCTCAGGAAAGCCTAAAGGATAATGGACCTCAATAAAGGCATCATCCCACAGGTCCTCTCTCTGACTAGCTCCCCATCCACCGGTTGAGTCCCCTGTTACCACTGGACTTTCCATGGGCCTCGTACTTGCACTCCTGACCTCTCTGGGACATGTGAGTAATAATTTCTCCTGTATCATGCATTTTGGCTTCACATCCTCATGTTGTCTCACTTGATAGATACACCCAAACCTAGCTTTCCCCACCATCGGGGCTTTCCTAGAGAGTGGCTATCTTAGCTTATGGCTACTCTCAAGAGAGAGACCTCAAGACCAAATTAGAAAGAAACCATAACAGTAGAAATTACTTAAACTTAAGTATCTATGTGTCTTTAAACACTGTATTTGCAAACTATCTAAGGTGATCCATGGATTATTTTCCTCTGCAAGCTTGCTGGATTTTCAGTACCAACACTGAGCACTGACTACTAAAGTATATGTGAGAGTGAGCTTGTGAGCAAGCTGTGTATTTCTTTTACAAGACTCTATAACCATGTACAAATGACTTGGATATTATGTCATATTGATCAAGCTTTTCCACACTAATAGCACACAGAATTGGCTAGATAATTCAATTTGCCCACATGTTTGGGAACAGTAGTTCTCAACATTTGGAAGCCAAGCCAGCTGTACCAGAATCACCTGGTAGGCTGCTTGTTAAATGTCCTCTTCACACTGCATCTTACACCAGGACATAACAAATCAGAATCTCCTGAAATAAGTTCCAGGAATCTTCACATTTAACAAGCTCCCTAGATAATTCTTACTCAGAGTAAAGTTTGGAAAACACTGGGTTTAAGACATAAGATGTTGTGATTACTTGATAGTAACCTTTACAATATCACAACCTTTGCCTTCAAACTCTGTTGGAGACACTGTGTCAAAATTTAGTCTCTTCCTTTGCCTTAAAAACAGTTAAGGTAATATAATTATTATGAAAATTAAATGCCGTTCAATGCTTTCAGGTCAGCATTGTGGATTCAATTTAATTGTAGATGACTAAAGAGGAAAAACAGAGGGGAAAAGAAGGTCCAGTTGTTTAAAGGCTCTGATTCATGACTATTTCAGAGCACACTGAAGCAGGTAGTTCCTCTGCACAAGTATTGCTCCAGGTGGAGCTCTCAGAGGCAAGCTGTTCCTAATGAGTCCTAACTAAAGAGGAAAAACAGAGGGGAAAAGAAGGTCCAGTTGTTTAAAGGCTCTGATTCATGACTATTTCAGAGCACACTGAAGCAGGTAGCTCCTCTGCACAAGTATTGCTCCAGGTGGAGCTCTCAGAGGCAAGCTGTTCCTAATGAGTCCTCACCCTTCCTATTAGGAACCTCTCTCTATATCACGTTCATCACAGCAGACTGCAGGAGAGCCTTGCAAAGCTAGGGTCCTGCACATGCAATGATTATGCCACTGTAATTTCTCACCTGGGTAGCTGCTATGTTTTCCCTGAGTAACTGCTCACTTTCAGTGAACAATGGTCAGTTTTAGTGATTCCTTTCTTTTTCTCCATGTTCTGTTTGTTCTGATCATATTTGTTGAAATGTAATTTTATGTCTGTTGAACCTAATAAAAAAAATAGGAAATATTTTTTGTTTTTTCAGTTCATTTTTCTTATATTTTTCAAATGTATAGCCATGCAAGATTTTAAAAATTTCTTTACCAAAGAGTTTGCAAAGTACTGCTCTATACCATACTCCTTTAAACAAACTGAGACAAAAAATGACTCTAGTTTAGCATTTTCTCACCTGAAAAACAGTAGAGAGTTATATTAGATTATCCATAAGATTCTCCAGTTCTGTGACCCAGTGGATACAGTTATATCTCATTTTCCTACAGTTGGATTATTCATTTTGTGAATTATTCAGGACAGACTTTCATATTTACAGCTGACTTTCTGCTGCCTCTCATTGTAGCTCTGAGCCACCTCTCCTACTGTGAGACTGCGTGGGCTTAAAGAATAAAGAGCATTTTAATAATAGCCTAATCAAAATGTAATTAAGAAAGGTAATTTGGCACCAAAAATATTACAGATTACTCATCAAAGATAAATTCCAGATATTTCCTACCATCTGCTATTTTGATCACTTCTCCCCTCCATTAATACAGGTATAATCCCTTCGCCTTAGCTTTACTTAAAGTGCCAAAGACTCAGCATAACTGTTATCTGCAATTCTGCTTCTGATACTTGTCAACCTCTCCCACTTTCTGTTTAAAATTAGCCATAGTAAACTTTTCTTTTACATTTTTATTGATGATCACACATCATATCTCTTTTAGCCTGCACTACATAACCAGGGTTTTAAAACCTTTTTTAATTAAAAAAAGCAGGGGAAGGCTAGTTGGTTAGTTCATCCCTGTACTGACCAATTGAAAAAAAAAATTATTTATCCCAGCAAAAACTAAAAAAGCAAAGTAGCTTAAGTTAAGAAATTACTTTCCTTCTCCAGAGAAAGGTGTAGATGAAACAAGTTGAATGAGCAATCTAATTAAATAAATCTCTATCTCTGGGAACTAGATATCCTGAGTTGGTACTCAAAGTCTGCATGTTTCACACATAGTATCTAACAAGGTATTCCTCACTGTAAGCTTAAAGTAACAACATCACAGGATGCATTACTCTGAATGTTTTCAAAATGCACTGACCCTCTGAAAGTTTCCTAAAGGCTGTTAAGAACCATCTGTCTAGCTATAGATAAACAAGCTTCAACATATGGGCCATAGGGCCGGCCCCGTGGCTCACTCAGGAGAGTGCGGCGCTGGTAGCACCAAGGCCGCAGGTTCGGATCCTATATAGGGATGGCCAGTGTGCTCACTGGCTGAGCGAGGTGCGGACCGCACCGTGCGAGGGTTGTGATTCCCTTACTGGTCAAGAAAAAAAAAAACATATGGGCCATAGAACATACACAGCTGTGCTTCACTAGTGCAGGAAAGTAAGAAAAGGTTGCTCTCTTGATATGAGCAACTCATGCAAAAGCAGCAGCATCACAGAGTGAAGGGCTTGCCCTAAGGTGTACAAACGAACTCAGTTCCAGATCCTTCTCCCCCACTCATCGGACAGACCACTTGATCACAAGTCTCCTCATATAAAAGTTAGAAAGGATGCTGAGTTAACTCTGGTCCCTCTTTCCCTCCTCGCTTCCCCATTAAGACATTTATTACATGTCTACTGCTATCATTTGAATGTCTGTCCCCTCCAAAACTCATGCTGAAACCTAATCCCCAATGGGGCAATACTGAAAGATAGGGTTTTTAAGAGATGATTGGGTCATGAGGGCTGAGCAGGCATACTATTCCAGACCGAGTGGGAAAGTGTGTATGAAGACCCTGAGATGGAAAAAGGCATGGACTGTTTAAAAAGAATTCAAGATTTGTAAACATTTATATCTGTTAATTTAAGGACTCTGTTGATGATCAAAATGCTGAAAGAAAAATTCCCACCATCTGCAGATGGTAATTCAGACAATTATTACATTAGCATAAACTATTTGTAAAATTGTCTGCATTTTCTATTCATATTGTCTATCTCATGCCTGCAATCAATGAATCTAATAAAAACACATGGACATATGATCATCAAATACATATACAAACATCTTAAGCACATGACACCATGGTAAATGCTTTAAGAGTTATAAAACAGTTTCCAAAAAACCTAGGAACTCTATGAGTGCCCCTGTTTAATGTTTACAGAATAAAATTAAACATTAAGTCAATAGTGGTTCAGTTATGTCTTACAAGTATTTTACTTCCCAAGCATCGTTTCCCAATACTCAGCCTTGCCAGAAGATGAGAGCTGATACCCTGGAGTGGGAAGAAAGATTAGTCATAATAGTCATTCTTGCTTGAAGTTATAAAATATATATAAAATGCTCATTTCAGTGATTTTCCCAATTCTTAGTTAAAACAAAAGCTGTACTTTTGGCACAGACAAGTTATGTCATATGTGAAATAGTATTAATTGTTTGATTAAGTTTCTCATTCTCTTTAAATTTCTACCTTTTCTTTCCACTTGACTGCCATACACGTACAGCACGGTGTGCACATGAAGTCCAGCCTCTGTAACCAGAATGAAGCAGAGAGTTCAATAACTATGCAGGAGTTCAAGTCAGGCAGGATAAAGAGCCAATTTGAATAACTAAGGTCCAAATAAAAAAATTAAACAAATTTGGAAACCTGAATCAATGCATCTAACCATAACGTGCTGTCTTATTCTAAGAAGGAAAGGTCTTTCCCTGCCACCTGCTACCGCACTTACTATATTGTGATGAGCTGGGATATGTCTGCTATCTACCTGATGGCAAACTCCTTAAACGTAAGGACTGTGCAGTTCCCATCCTTGTTCCATAGATGCTTACAATGCTGGTGTAGCAGGAGCCCAACAGATGCCAGTTAACCAAATCAAGAAACAAAAAACAGTCATTGTTTAAAGACTAAAAAGTTACTAAATGGATAAATCTTCTTGGTGAAAAGTGATTAATTACAGGACCATCTCAGGTACCCGTTAGGATTTTAGCAAACATCTAAAATTTGCCCTTCTGCCATTCTGCATATAGTAACATGAACACGTATGACATCAGACCTTTAATTAAAAATCATTACTTAAGTTGCTTTATTACAGCTATAAATAAACTTTATTTGATGGAATGTAATAAAACATTTTCAAATTTAACAACATGTATCTGACCATAATTAAACATTTAAATTACGAATATAAGTATATACGGTCACTTTAGCAAATCTGTGGTTCAGGAATTTGTACAAGCTTTGTCTGAAAGGACAGTGCCCACCTCTCCTTTCAGGAAAGGCAGCCCTTCCCTGCAGCTGGTAAGAAACAATGTCAATGAAAGTTGAAAGAAGTCCATAATCCACATTGGAACTCCACTTTATCCTGTGAGGGGACAGCTTCCTTAACTGGAGGAAAATAATATTCTCTTTAAATTCTCTTTCATGTAATGAAGGTTTCCATTCATTTTATCCCTCTTACAGGCATAGGTCTTCTTTTCTGATCTACCATCTTTCTGTCTCCTTAGCTCACACTTATATGTGCCATTTAAAAAAAAATATTATCTGTAAAGGGACGTTTTCTGTTTCCCATCTGCTCTTAATGCCTAACACTTTTTTGGAGGGAGAGGGGAGGGGTGGGTCAGGGGACAGAACTGCTCAGGCGCACATTTGATTTAAGATACAGAGAACACAAAAGCAAATTCTCTAGAAGGAACAGAATGTTGTTCTGGAACATTTGTCACGTGGTCCAGGTGACCTCCAACTCACAATGCAGTTTAATGCAATGCTGCTCAAGGAGAATAAACATGTCTGTGCTCATTCTTTGGAAGCATCATAACTTTCTTAGAAACCCCATTATTGCCACACTTCTTCCACATAACACAGAGTTACGGGCCCATTGTACCCTTGTGTAAAATGAGTGAAAAACATGCCAATAATCGTGTTAATGTACAGTGCAGTTAGGTAGCACTCGCTCTTCATGTGGTAAAAATCCTCACAGAAGGAATCCCCCTCACCTCCCAAGACCCCTCAGAAGTGTGAGCGTGAGAAAAAGCTTTATGCAGCTTCTATGCTTTTCCCCATCCTGAGATCTGTTCCTGAGTTACACCATAACAAGAGAGTTAACAAAGAAAGTACATTGGTGGGGAAGTGACAGGGACCCTGAAGAAAAGCCAAACTATTTCACAGAAGCTTGAACAAACACTGCTCTGGGAAATCACTTATAAAGCTGATGACTGGATTCTGTTTTCTAACATGGACATGCAACATATTCAACACTATGCTGACCGCAGCTTGCTTGGGAAAGCTCTTCTGTCATACAACAAAATACATTCTGTCACATGGATGATTCCTGAATATTCACCACAGTGGCTACACTCAGAAGCATGGGCAGAGTGCATTGGAACTTTCTCCCACTTGCATGGATCTGGACATATGCAAAGCACCAGAAACTGCTTCCTTCCCTGGAACTCAGTTCTGTTAGTGTGCTTACTGCTGAGATGATCTGGCTGTCTTAACGTGAGAACACACAATAGCACTGATCCACGGACTGACCCAAAAAAGAAGAGGTCACCATCCCCCTCATCATATACTTTGTATAACAGATCACCCTGTTTGCCACGTTTTAGCCATCCCAAGAAAGGACAGAAGCCGCATTCCATTCTGCAGTCTCGGCAAAAGATTTCGTTCTGTTTCCACCTCTGTTTTGCCTTATTTCATCTCCATTATTCCGTTTTCGATCATGAATCATGACCTTTTTTTCTACAGTAGTCAGAGTTTTGTCTATGAAAGAGAGAGAGGGAGAGAGAGAGAAACAGAGAGAAACAAGAAAATGATTTAGTAGAAGCATAAATGCGAGGTTTCATTTTGTGGTGGGTGGATTTAATTTTTATAGCAGTCAGTAATTTGAATCTTTTGTGGCTTCTAAGGGGTGATAAACATCTCTAAAGGGAAGGAAAAAGTGCTGTGGCTCTTTTCATAGATTTCATAACGTCTATGAGTTACCAAGGCCTTAATGTATTTGCAAATCAGCCCCAAATAACCCATTTAGAAATTCAACTTTATAATACAGCTGTAGCCCCAAATGGCTTTGCTCTCAAAAATCCTTGCAAAATACTACAGCACTTGCCCTACTTGAAAAGCATAATGACTACTAATGAGATGTGTTCTACCCTTCAAACCTAGGAAGATTCATCATAGTAAGCTTTTATAATACAGCTGTAGCCCCAAATGGCTTTGCTCTCAAAAATCCTTGCAAAATACTACAGCACTTGCCCTACTTGAAAAGAATAATGACTACTAATGAGATGTGTTCTACCCTTCAAACCTAGGAAGATTCATCATAGTAAGCCATGTGGAAGAGGAAACCCCCCTTCCTTCAGTCCCTTCTCCCAGATTCACAGAAGAGGCCTGAGCCATGGAGAAGTGTCAGCCAATGGCTGAGAAAAAGTCCCTTTCTCCTGGTGAAAAGCCATACTCCCACAACTCTGTACCTTCACAGGCCTCGACTTACCACACTACATCATGTGCTTAAGAGCTCGTTCTGTAAGGTCCCAGGGTCTGGGACTGAGCTACTCACCTCAGCTGTCCCCCCCACCCGCCACCCCACCTCACCCCAACCCATCCCCTGCCAATTTGGCTATTACACCTTTGGTCCTGCTCCTCCCCATCTGACGTCCCCCTCCCAGTCCAGTCCTTCCGATGGGTGACTCAGCAGATGGATCTCCCTGGTGACAAGCTTCACTTATCCATAAGGCACGGTCTCTAGCTCTGCCCCTCAGACTCACACAACAGCGCCTGAGGATGAGTGAGGGACTTGGGCCAGATCCAGGCTCCTGGGTATCTGGGAGTGGGGACTGGAAATAGGCTGTGACCCCAAGTGCACTTCACAGACACATTGCTAGCCCCAGGCTTCCACCTCCTCTCAGCACAGAGGAGTGACCACTTCCCACGCAGCTCGGCTTTGCTCCCACCCTCCCTGAACTGTGCTGAATCCCTCTGGGTCTCAGCCGCAGCGCCATCTCCCAAAGCCTCCCTTTCCTCGCCACCCACATGTGATGGTTTGGGGATTCCAACTCCCAAACATCTCAGACACCTCTTACCTCTTTGCTACTCTCGGGACACCCTCCTAATGGGGGCCCTCCTGATAGGAGACCTCGCATGTACATGACTTCCCTAACCCATCTCCCTTTTCCCATTGTGAAGCCCTCCACCCATCCCTAATGCTGCAGCCCTCATCTCACTACTGCTCAGAAGCCTCCATCTCCTTCCCTCCACTCCTGCCTACCCGGCCCTCCGTGCTGACCCCAATCTACCCACCTTGCCAGTACTGCTGAAGACATGCCCCAGGCTCCTTGCCTACCTCCACCCCCATCTGTGTGCCTCTGTCCATGCTGTCCCCTCTGCTTTGAGCAGCCCCCACCCCCCCTCCCCCCCACTATTCCTTCTTGTCAAAATCCTACTCTTTCTTCAAGACCCACCTCAAATATCACCTCCTTCCCAGTTTCTACCACAGACATTTTCTTCCTAAGAATGTTCCCAAAGCTATTCTTCCTGCGTACCTCTCTGTACTGCTTGATTTTTATGGTGTGCTATGTGTATTTATTGTCTACCAAGGAAGCAAATATATATATATACTAGAAAAAATATATACTAGGAAAAGCAAAAGAAGGCAATCAACTGCCTTTCCTACTTTAAAGAGATGTTGCAGAGTTTAAATGTAGGCAGTTGCAAAGCATGAAGCAAATAAACTGCTATTATTACTAGTTGATGATTTAATGAAAATAAAGTGCTGAATTCCAGCTAGGAAAAAACGCCATTGAAAAAAAATCCATGAAATAGCAAACTTCTTGTTTGTTTCTGTGTTCAGGAAGCATCCTATCACAGATACCTGGGGTTTCAGGAGCCCTGGAGGTTCTTCCCAACGTCCTCTGGGACCCATTTCTTTCTTTCTTTTTTTTTTTAAATCACTGGTTTCCATAAAGAAATGGTAGAATTACCCTGAATTCCAAAGCTTCAGCACAAACCCTGGAGCAGCATATTGACAGAATTCATGGCAGAAATCCAAGGTTACTCTGTTATGAGTCACCGCTAAGAACCACTGCAATTAACAGGGATTATAAGCGGCTCTTTGAAGAGAAAGACAATACAATTGCCAATAAAAAAAGAGAGGAAAAGGAAGAGCTACTTCAAAGCAATTTCATGACATTCTTTTATATGAAGGTATTCTAAAAACTGTTCTTCAATATTGTTCATAAATTGTGTCAAAGAACAAAAGTCATCAAAACATGATACACTTACAAGCAATTTATGGCAATTTAAAGCATATGTCATCAAATTAAAAAGAAAAAAAGAAGCCCTGCTTGTATCACACTGTCGCATTTGTTTTTGAATTACCAGCATTTGAATACTTGTGAAAAGGTGAAAAAATTTAAAACGGATAGTATGAATTAAAATTACCAGTGCAAAAGTATTCACAGCTTTTTTCCCTGTATTCACTCCGTTACCCCAAGGAAAATTCTCGAGTGCCTGCTGGACTCCTGAGGCTCTGCTCATGCTGATCAAGAAAATGGGAAGAAATGGGTAAATAACCAGAAGTAGCAACACATAGTCTAGTAGATCGTTTACACAGGTAAGGGAAAAATTATTATGTAAAAAATAGAGCCAAGAAGGCAGAGTGAAGAGCAAAAATAAAAGAGACTAGAACCCAAGCAGCCAGATGGGAAGAAAAGGACTGCAGAAATTAGAGCTGGGAGCTCAGAGTCTTTAGGGTTGGCCACAGGATGTGTGTGAGCTCGAGTGAGAGGTAGAGGGAGCAAAGGACTCTAAGAAGGTTTGCTGGGCGCTATGGATTGCATACCTTTTATCATTCTTCCAGAGACTACAGAGACTGGTTATGTCATTCATACCCAGGAGAGTTAGGAGTTGTTTGGGGTTAGCCAATTTGAATGCAACTGTGCGGACTGTGGACAATGTGGTTATTATTCTGGTTACAAGTCTTTTACTGGTCACACACCTCTACAGCCACCCCAGCCCACTGGATTATGAGCTTCCAGAGGCGAGGACTGTCACTTATTCATCTTTGTACCCCTACCATGCCTGGCATCATGACGTATACAGCAAACCTTCAAATGTTTCTGGAAAAAACAAGCCAGTGAAGAGACTCTTTACAGCCAGCCTCTAGGTTCTGATTCACCCCACACAATGCCACCAAATGAGTCTTCACCACTTTGATAACTCCATTCTACTTGAAGAGATTCATTAATGGCTTACTACTGTCTACATTGGGGTTCCCCACTTTAGCATTATGGGATGTGTAATTCTTTGGGGGGCATGGGGAGAGGTGCTGACTGTGTATCATAGGATCTTTAGCAGCAACCCTGGCCTCTACCCAGTAGGTGCCAGTAGTTCCCCCACCCCACCAGCTGTGACAACCAAAAATGTCTCCATACATTGCCAAATGTCCCCAAAGGGGAGCGGGGGGGGGGGGAATTTCCTCTGATTAAGAACCACTTGTCTACACTAAAAGTCCAAATTCTTGGAACCAGCATAAAAGACCCTTCCTAATTTTGTCTCATCTGCCTTCTACTCTGATCTCCAACTCTTCCCCCACCCCAATGCTTAGCTTCAGCCAGACTGTCGTTTGCATAAGCTCCCACATTGGTGCCTCTACATAAAAGCTTCCTTCACCTGAAATACTATTTCTGCTCTCCTTTAGCTATACTTTGACCACTTTCATAGACATACTTGAGCCCATATCCTTCAGCAATTCTGCTGATTGGGGTTAGTGTAGACTCAGAGTTATTTACCTCTCCTTTGAGTCCTATAGCTTTCCCTGTCTCCACCTTTCCTTATCACAAAAAGCGTGAGTGCGCATATGTCTTCTTAGTTTGTTAAGGTTACTATAATAAAATACTATAAACCAGATAGCTTATGAGCAACAGAAATTTATTTCTTACAGTTCTAGAGGCTGGGAAGTCCAAGATCAAGGAGCCTGTGGGTTCTTGTCTGGGGAGGGCTCACTCCGCTTCGTAGATGGTGCCCTCTAGCTGTCTTCACACGGCAGAGGAAACGAACAAGCTCCCTTGGGCCTCTTTTATAAAGACACTAATCTCATCTAACAATTTCCTAAAGGCCCCACCTTTTAACACTATTGCAATGGGGATCAGGTTTCAACACATGAATTTGGGGGGACATAAACATTCAGACCATAGCACCATATGTGTGTGTTTATATATGTCTGGCCAACAGAAGTATATGCCCAAGGAGAGGAAAGTTGTCATATTTTCTGTATTCTCCTCAATGCATGGCAGTTATGCAAAAAGAAATCAAAAAATGAATCTTTCAGCATTGGTACTGAATAGAAAACTGCCTCATTTAGAGTTAGAAAAATAGCTGTTTAACTCCATAGAATCTATCACTGGAAATTTCCTAAAGTAGATGTGTATTTTTAGGCCCATTACCCTAAATGATCTGAATATTCCATGACAAAAAATTCAAATAGAGAGAGATGTAATGAAGGGATAGTAATTCTCTTAGACCAGGGGACAGCAGACTATGGCCTGTGTGCCAAATCTATCTGGCTGCATCATTTTGTAAATAAAGTTTTATTGGTACACGGCCATATCCATCTGTTTACTTATGATGATGACAAAGGCAGAGACAAATAGTTTCAATAGGAACCATATGGCTGGCAAAGCTTAAAATATTTACTATTTGGCCCTTCACAGTAAAAGTTTGCTGATTCCTGTCTTAGACTAACAGGAAAATAACACCCAAGCCTTCATACTAGCTAAAGACAGAAAGACATAAAGGCTTGGACTTTATGTTAGCTGATTCATTTTTATAAAAGGCACAGTGGCATTGAATTTAAAAGCACTTTTGAACATAGATTTTCTGGGCTCAAATCCAGCACTATAACTCTATAGCTCTGTGAGAAAATTATCTGACCTCTCCAAGCCTTAGTTTTATCTTTAGAATGGAGATGGAGAAAACCAACCTATCATAAGAAGATTAAGTGATATAATTCACATAGATTATTCAGCATAGTGCCTGAGAGAAAATCCTGCGTAAATATGGCTTACTATCCTTTTAAACTGGAAAACTTTTTGTGTTACATTATTAACATTATCCTTTTGTGATTTATCTGAATTATCTGTGGATTATTTACTAAAATAATCAATAAAATTATTCTCAAATTCTTTGACTTTTCAGATGCATGAAAATAGTGCATTTTCTAGTTCAGGACTTCATCTGTTTTTTTCCTAGTTTATACAGTGGGCTACTTACCTGGACCCCTGCCACCTGTCTGCCCTTCTCACTATTTAAAGAGAAACCTTCCTCGAACACATCCCTCAGTATGTTACTTCTGGGAACTAAAACCAACACATACTTTCCTTTTCCTTTGCTAAACAATCCTGGGACCAGGTGAAATGACCTAGCTACTTGTTCCAGGAAATAGTTGCTTCCAGAAGATAAGACTGTACACCAACTAAAATAGCTTACTTAACAAGACTAATAGTATGCTCTTTAATACTTGTTTCGAAGCCCCCATCTTGCGGTATCCACCACTCCAAAACTATTATGTCATAAATTCTAATGAGTCCTCACTAGTCCCCTACTTTGAAATCACCCAGCCCAAGCCTCCATCTGAGAAACTACTAAGACTCTGTCTAGGAGGTATCCTCCCATAGTACAGTAAATCTAACAAACTTAACTTACTTAGAGTAACAGGTCATTCTAGTTGTCTTCTTAGAAAGCTGATGGCTATAATCCCCAGCTCAAAAAGACTCAGTAGCTCTTCACTACCTACAGACTGAAATCATTTGACAAACAGTATTGCATAACAGTTACAAGCACATACACTGGGGTAATTCATACCACTTCTACCACTTAGTGGCTATGTGATCTTAGGTCACTTGCTTTATGTCCCCAAGCCTCAAGTTATTCTTCTGAAAACCAGGAATTCTAGAAGCAATTACTTTTCAGACAGCTTGGTGTAGGTGTCCAAAAATTGCTGGCAATTATTATTTTTATTTATCATCTATTATGTGTCAGGCACTGCACTAAATTCTGCAAACAGAAAATAGACTAAGACATAGCTCCTTCCCGGAAGGAATTCAGAATCTGGTAGGCAAACACTAGTGGTCAGTTCAATAGAATCTTATAGGCCTAGAAAGATCTCTGGAGTTGCTTATACTCTAGACCCTAAAATTATATTCTTTTTTTTAAAGTGCTACTTTCTATACTTTGAACAATTTCATATGCACAAAAGAGTGTCTATAGTAGAAGTCAAAATGAACATCTGTGAAGCTACACCCAGCTCAAGAATTAGCACAGCCATAGTCTTACAACTTTGAGCTGTAAGAGAAAAGCAGACTAATATATAAAAAATGTGTAGCACTAGGATTCAGATGATCTGGGATCTAGACTTAGTTTTGACATTAGCTAAGTATGGGATAATCTCACTCTCCAAGTCTCACTTACCTCTTCTGTCAAATGAAGGGATTGGACAGTGCTCCCTGGTTCTCTCGCCTGTTCCTTCCTGCCAGGTTCAGTGAAGAGGAACACCTTTTTCTCTCTCATGTCCAAAACTAATCTGCTTTGCATTCTTATCAGCATCTTCCATTCTCTCACCCAGGTTTCTTTTCCTTCAGCTTTCAAACATGAAATTATCTCCTCTACCTCAAATTTAAAACAAAATCTTCACTTGATCTGCTGACAATTCTAACTACTCTACCGACTTCATCCTTCTTTACAATGCCATCTTTGTTAACATGTGGATTACTTGTGAAACATCCGTTTCCTCATCACCATCAGTTCTTTGCAATCCTTTTTCAGATCCCAACTCCCTACTGTAATTGCTTCCTGGAAAGTCACTGAAAGCTTCCTAGACAAACTCAGCAACCCTTAATCAGTTCCCTACTACCAAGATGGCGGACAGCACTTCCTGAAAGTTCCCGTGGCTTTTAAGACCTTACCCCGTCCTGGCATCTCCCCACACCAGCCACTCTCCTTTTTCCTGGACTGCTTCCTTTTAGCCTCTGTGCATGTAACTGTACACTGGAAAGATCATTTTCACTTCATTCCTCAAATTGATCAGTGAAGGATGAGGTCATCAAAAAAAAGTTTCACTGGATGGAAGAATAATAGCAATTAAATGATAATGTTACGAGAATAGGATATGAGGACGTAAGTCAGATATCATTTATGGAGAAAGAATGGAAAATATCACCTTACTTGTCATCAATCACGTTAATTGCAATTCATCAGCAAATCAGTCTCATCTTCCAACCCAACTAAGTACCTATCTTTGGCTTGTAAAATTTTACTGGGTGGAGAAGTGGAGTCTATACTATTCTGAATTCAAATCTGATATGTTAAACAGAAAATAAGCTAGGTTCTGACTCAGGAAGAGTTTTGTGATGTAAGCAAAAGCTGCATACAAGAGTTTTGTGATGTAAACAGAAGCTGCATACAAGGGTCAGGGGGATGAAAGGGAAATAGCCACAAGTGACCTTACAGCACAAACTCGAGTCTCCCGGGCCTCTCTGCAAGCTTCAGGGCCTCGTGCATGCCTGCGGCCGAGAGCTTGCGGTTGATATTCCGGTACTGGCACTGCAGCAGGCTGCAATAGGTGGTCCTCAGGTCCCGGTTGAAGAAGGCATATATAAAAGGGTTAATGAGAGAGTTTGCATAGCCCAGCCACAGAAATGTCCTCTCCACCCACAGCGGGATGCAGCTGCAGGCGGTGCCGCAGATGAAGGGCCTGGCTGTGGAGAGGAGGAAGAAGGGCAGCCAGCACACGGTGAAGGCCCCCACGATGATGCCCAAGGTGGTGGCTGCTTTCTGTTCCCTCTTGAAGATGGAGATGTTCTTCCTTTCGTGTTTGAGGAGCCGGGACAGGTTGGCACACTCCTCCACCTCCTTCTGGAGCTTCCCCACGCCGTTGAGGGCGACCACGCTGCCCAGCTGCAGGCGCGGGAGGCCGGGGAACTTGTGCTTGGCCGCGCTCCGGCGGGCGGCCTTGTAGATGCGGTAGTACATGAAGAGCATGACCGACATGGGGATGTAGAAGGCCACCGCGGTGGAGTAGATGGTGTAGCCGAAGTCCTGGCTGATGAGGCACACCTTGTCGTCGTTGACGTTCTGGGCCCATCCGAAGAGCGGGGGCAGGGTGATGGAGGCGGAGAGCAGCCACACCGAGAGAATCATCTTGGCCATGCACTTCCCGTTCTGTCTCACCGGGTACGTGAGGGGCCTCGTGATCCCAAGGTACCTGGGACAGAAAGGGAAAGACAGCCGGTGAACACCGTGCTCACCACCGAGCAACCAGCCGGCCACAGCGCCAGGCCTCACAGCAGCCCTCCTAGGCAGGTACGGTTCTTCCTGCTTGGCAGAAAGGTACACTAAGGCTTCCAGATGTCCCCTATTTTATTCCAGGTCACACAGGCAGAGGCACTGCCAGGATGGAGCTTGAGAGCTCTCTGACTCTCAAGTTGGCCCATGCTTTTCTCATACCTTGTAGCTTCTCATATCCATGGAGCCAGTGAGCTGCAGAGTAAACACCCACCCTCTCCCCATGACCACAGCCACTAAAATCAGCCAGGAACAAAGGATATCAAGCCTGGTGTGGGATGTTGTGACACATCCTCACAAATTAACCGAGGCCAATCATACTCTGATACTATGCACACACTGATCTCCTCGGCTATCTTAATTCAGGCTAGTTTGCGGTGTTAGTTTGTTTGTTTATGCTGTACAGAATCTTGCTTTTTTCTTCTCTTTTTATTTTTTTCAATGAATAGACAAATTTTCACAGCAGTTTTAGATTTATGGAAAAACTGAACAGAAAGTGCAGAGTTCCCATATACCCACCGACCCCCAACTCCACAACATTTCCCTATTATTAACATATTATTGGGCTGGTCAGTAAGCTTGGTTGGTCAGAGCATGGTGTCATAACACCAGGATAAAGGGTTCAGATCCCTGTACTGTCCAGTCCAGCTTTTAATTCAGTTTTACTTCCCCTTTGCACTGTAGCAGAAGCATTTCTTTAAGATGACAGAGATTTGTGAGATAGCTTAGAAATCCTAGGGTTTTAAAATGGAAAGTAGAAAGTGATCATTTTCTTTACCCCCAGAAAACTCTCACACATGAGCAATGTCAGAGGAACAATCTATAAAATAAAAACAGCCTGCTTCATCTCTCCAGTTCTGAGGGCAACAAGGAAGGACACAATTCTGAAAAACACTAGGCAAATCCTGCATTTTCTCTATGCTCAGTTCTATACAGGGAATATTTCTCCATCTCAATTATCAAAGATTTATAATGCAAAAGAGGCTCCACAAACAGACAAAACATATACAGTAAGATGTTTTGCCAAATGCTTAATGTTTTTCAGCTTTCCAAATTTGTTTTTTTCTCTATATTTAACAGTCTTAGCATCTATTTTAGGGAGGGTGAAAAGAGCACTTGAGAAGCAAAGACTGGTAAAAGCTAGTCACTTTGCTGCATTCTTTTTTTTTTACTTTATGCATATAAAAGATATACTCTTTACACATGAAAGGAAAGGTACAGAGTCCCTGACTTACTAACAGGTTATTTTCTGAAGGTTGGTCAGTTGATAGATTGGGACTTAAAAAATGATTTCTGCTAGAAATACCCTTGATGCTTAAATAATCCCATGAAAGTCTAAAATCATGCTTTCCCAATGAAAATTAGCATCATTGCAACACTTACAACAAGACAAAATTCAAATATTTTAAAAGGAATAGCTAAATTTGCTTATTCATCACAAACTCATTCATTCCTTCAACAAATATTAATGCAGCTCTTTCCAAGGACCAGGTACTGTTCTAAATGTTGAGGATATGTCAGTGAATAAAAGAGAAAAAAATCTTGAATGCAGGAAAATGGGGAAATCATGTGGGGTGAAGGGGAGGACTGGGCTGTGGTAATGTTGAAAGAGACCTGTGATCCCTTCCAAGGACTCAGGTGTACATGTTCCTGGTCTTCATTTCACAGCCTCTGCCTTCCCTTTTCATTGATATAGCTGACCCACAGCACTATCCTTAGGATTATCGGCTATAGTTATGATTACATTTTGGTTCCCAAATAGAACAAAGGAAGAAAAAGAGATTTTCCTTAGAATACAAGAATAAGAGCTGAAAAGAAAGAGAAAAGAGAATAGAACTAGGAAGAAGAGAGGAATGGAAGGAATGGGGGAGAGGGGAAAAGAGAAGGGGGAAAGTAAAAAAAAAAGAGAGAGAGAGAACAGGGAAATATGAAATAGGGTTTGCTTTCTGTGGAATTATCTGAGTTTCGAGTCATGGGAAAAAATTTTAGAAAAACTGAAGAAAAGCAGAAGACAAGGATACCCCTGAGAAAAGATGTCAGAACTGACTGAATGCCCACAATTCAGCTGATCTTTGCCTGAAGTAGAATGCAGACATTCCATTAAAGAAAAGTCTCCCTTCCCTTGCTTTATTTCAGGAGCTCTCTCTAAGTGTTCCTGATAGAAGTCCTTTGCATATTTCTCATTTTGAATCTAGTCCTTGCTTTCTACCAGCTGTTGTGACTATGGCCTTTGGGGCTCCTTCCTTGTTTCCCAGCTCCCCCATGTAGCCTTTCCCAGGAACTGGACTTTTATTTCCCTTCTCTCTTTATCTATAGCCCAGACATAAATGCCTGCTCCCAACCCCGCGTCTGGCATCCAAGACACCAGTTCAGGCTGAAGCCTCAGGTTCACTAAGGAGTGAGGTCCAACAGGTTAGTTCACACAGTTCCTCATGTGGCCACCAGATGGCAATCTCAGACCACTTTACACCTATACTAGGGCCAGGGTGGGGGATGATATGGGAAATGGTTCGAGCAATAGGTGTATGTCGGAAGGAGGAAGGAGGTTTACTCATGAGAAGAAAATAAGTTACATTTTATTTGTGGGGTATAAAAAAAATATTAGTAAGCCTGGAATTCACAACCTGGTAAATTCCTATTCTTGGTGAAATCAGGTCAGTTTTCCCTTCCATTTCTTCACATTTTCTTTACTGGAATGAGTGACTACACCTTCAAGCTTAATTAAAAATCCATCCTTTCTTCTACCTCCATAAATAATACAGAATTACAAAAAGATTAATTCTGAGATATTAATTAATGGACTACCAAAGGACATATGAGACTATTAGATAATTGCATAAGAACAGCACATTTTCTCATTCCAGTATACTCAGTCTGACATATTAAATTCCAGTGATGGGGATTGGCACATACTCAGCCTGCCCTGAATGTACAAATTATACTCCAGAAATTCTGTCCTGTTTCAGGCTCCATTCTCTAAAGGCTTCAAGTCCCATCCTGCAGTAAGATAGTAATATTTATTTCTTTAGTATCCTGGGTACCACTTGGTGAGGATTTAGAAGGCTAAAATCAACTGAAAGTTTACTGCAAAAAAAAAAAAAAAAACAAGTGTTCACTAAATGCCTGGATATAAAATAAGCAAGCGAAAGTCAATAGCTTATATTTTAACAATTAGAAAATATTGGGTGAGGGACAATAATTTCATTAACAACCAAAAACTTAAAATATCTAGGAAAAAGCTTTAAAAATGGCCAGGGCCTATATGAAAAAAAACACAAAATGCTACTGAGACACATAAAAGAATACTTAAATCCATGGGGGGAGAAAAACAACTTTTTTCTTTAATAAGAAAATCCAGTATTATAAAAGTGCCAATTTTCCCTCAATTCATCTATAAATATCATACAATCCCAATTGAATTATCTAGCAGGGCTTGTATTAGTTTGGCCAAAAGATTTTAAAGTTCATCAAGTCAATATGTAAAAATGAGCAGATAACTTGAAAAAGATTAATAAAGGGATACTTATTTTATTTTAAAAAATAGTACAAAGCCATAGTAATAAAAGGCCAATAATAATTATTCAAAAAAAGACATATCAATAGAATGGAATAGGTCCCATAAATGGATTCAAATATATAAGAGAATTTCATATAAGATGAGTAATTTTAAATCAGTAGTAAAACGTTGGATATTCATGAAGTCTGACAACTAGCTACCAACTGGATAAAAATAATACTTGCTTCTTATCTTTCTCCTTATTAAATATAAATCCCAAATGGATCAAAATTATTATGTAACAAAATTAAACCCTAAGACTATGAAAAAAATATAGGTGAGTATTTCTATAAACCTGAGATGAGCCTACAAAGGCTGTTCTTAACTATGATACAAAAGTTTGAAACTATAAAATAACACATTAATCAATGTTGTGATGAAAATCTTATAAACAAAAATAAGTAAATGACATTTTGTTTAACCTAAAAATCTCTATATGCAAAGTTAAAAGACAAATAAATTTGGAATCCAAATGAATATCCCAACATTCACAGACTCTTACAGGTCAATAAAAAAAGAAAACCATCCCAATAAAAATATTGAAGCAATTGACCAAAGAAGAAATACTAACTGCCAACAAGCACTTGCAAATTTGTAGAACTTCATTAATAATCAAAAAGATACAAATTTTTAAATACTGATATATATTTTGATCACTTGCTAATTTTTAAGAAAGACAAAATCCAATACTGGAAAATAGTGAAAAAACAGACACTCTTTTACTTTCCTAGTGGGAGTGTTAACTGAGATTACAATTCTGGAGGACAGTTTGGCAATTAATACACATCAATTTGCCCCTTGGCTCAGCAATTAGATTTCTAGGAGTTTGTCTTAAGATAATTATGCAAATTCAAAATGACTAACGTGCAAAGATGTTAACTAAACACATAATAAAGGAAAAAGATGCAATCTAAGTATTAATAGGAGATTAGATAGATAAAATATGGTGTGCACATATACATATAACATATATATCAGGCAATCATTCAGAATGATGTATATCTGTATTTACTGACATGGAAACAACAGAAGAGGTGATAGAAAACAATAGCTAGCCTTCAAAGATAAATAATAGAATATCATATGATGTATATACCTTTCTATGTAAAACTGGGTGTGTGGGGGGAGGTACTGAGATGTCCACAATAATATCCATGAAAATATTAATAGTAGTAGTTTTATCTGGGTTGTAGAGATCTTAATGGTTTTAAATTTTTCTTTGCACTTTTCTATGCATGTTTTTTTTTTTTACAGTGAGCATGTTAAAAAAAAAAACAAAAACAAAACACTATTTTAATTCTAAGAACAAAATGAAATATTTAAGAGGATTCTCTGTTTCCTAAATTAGCTAAGTGATTCTGGCA